TATTACGAATCATGTGGAGGGCACAAGGCGTAAGAGGCGCGAACTAGGTGAGTTAGTGTGTTGCGCGCGGACGGCTACTTCTCGGGCCAACTAACGCTAGAGAAATTCAGTCCTGTTCACCTGTACAGGACTCGAGCTGCAATGCTCGTACTTGCTTTTCTAGCCACTGCGAATTTCTGTTCTCAAGAACTCTGAACAGATCAGTTGGGTGTAGTAAAATGCGAATTTTTCTGATGCAGACCCCGTCGAAACCATGAACCGTAGCGTAAAAGGACTGGGGACTGTCATCAGCAGGTCCCCATAGAGCTTTTGCAAGGGAACAAGTTGTCACCAATGGGGAGCCTTACGGCTTTAAATGCAGGTAGGGTGCGTGGCGTATCCCAAAAACAGGTCAACGTTGCATCTGTGATGTCATTATCAAAGAAACTGGCGGACCAGTCTAGCTCGTAAGTTTGTTAATTAAATGAAGTGGTCATATTTATTCAAACAGGTTACTTCTCCTACAATGCAGTGGAGTCAACGTCTGAAGCAGCACATACAAGTACAGAACGATTTGTCAATGGCGTCAAGGCGATTGTTAGACACTCCAAGAGAAAGGGCCCAATGCCGAGGAGAAAGAAAGTAGGTCCCTATTGGACAGACAGGGCAATATTTGTGATTTCGTAAAGCTCAAGGAACGTCCCACTTTCTAGGTACGAGGGAGTCGTACTAAATCACCTGAAGACGACATATGGCATGGATTTGGTGACGATCCACCTACTGATGAAGAGAAGAAGGAGAAAACGAAGAAAAGTCAAATGACGTGCGGGTTGTTTTGCTTGGAGCCGAAGAGAAAAAAGCGGTGAGTTTCACGGGAAATCTGAAAAGTCTCATTAAAGCTCTTACCAGTAGACAAAGGCCAATGGTTTTCGTATATTCCTCCTTCTTGTGAGAGCTGTACCAGTTGATTGCTACAAGTGCTAATTATTTTCACCTGATCGCATTTGATATTTTAGCGTAAGCCTTAGAATTTGCCACCCCATTCTACATGAAGGCCAACGTCGTCCGCAATCTGATTTCGACCAAGGATAAAGTCTGCAGTCAGCCTTCAAGTGAAGTAGACATAATGGTGGAACGTATTTTGAGAGAAAACGGATATTCCAATACAAACTTGCGGTCATGGAGACCGTACTCCACACCTGATGGGATCACCATGATAATGCCGTATGTTAACGAAAAAATAGCATGGAAGGTCAACAATGTCGTAAGGAATTCCTCACTCCCAGTACGACTTGTGTTCCGCCCACCCCCGAACTTGAAGCGACTGCTGACATACTCCAGACCTTACGAGGATAAATGTGGGAGGAATGGTTGCATCTACTGTAAGGACGACAAAATATGCCAACTAAGAGGTACAGTTTATGCAATAGAATGCCAAGGATGTGGGCATAAGTATGTTGGAGAAACAAGAAGACCTCTCCACAAACGACTCGATGAACATCGGAGGGCTCTACAAAATCCGGCCTCATATCCAGGTAACAGCTTCTCCAAACATAGAACCCAACAACATGCCCAAGGGGATCCACCCACCCTCAACGTAAAAGTCCTACACCGTTCCGTTGAAAACACAGTGGAACGCAAAATACTGGAGGCTCTGGAAATAAAAAGACTAGCCCCGGAAATAAATAGCAGAGACGAGTTACGTGACTCTCTTCAACTCATCGCATGACTGCAGTTATCATCACTGTGGAATGAATGCGATATTTTGGGAAATAACGGTCGTAGCACGTCAACGCTATTTAAGGGTAAGTCTAGGGTAGGGAACAGTTCCTGCTTCACAGACCGACAAGGGTGGTAAGTGTTACACTTTTGAAAGTGGACAGCAGGTGGGTCAGTTAATATATTTTAATATATTAACAGACTTTAAGAAAGCTTATAATTTTCATTTCAGGCTCGACAAAGGCGCTAAGCGCCGAAAGCTCGCCAAAAAGGCTTAAACTTTTGCAAAACTTTTGCAAACACTCATTTTTGCAATCTCTTTTGTAGAAAGTTTTGAGTCTTTTGCAATAAATTTTGAAGTCTCACATTGTTTAATACACATTTACTACGTTTAAGTTATAATTTGAAGTTAAATAGGGAGAAAAGAGAACATCATATGCGTCTAGGTCCCAATTCAGGTCGCTGAACTGGTTCTAAGCCTAGAAATGTGTTGTGCATCAAAGGATTGACAAATTAGTCACATTTATTCTGTAAATAGTTCCAGATGTGTCAGAAACGTGGTCCGGTGGTCGATTTGAAGCAGCTCGGATGGGGTCGATGGGTGATTGCTCCAGCGGATTTCGAGGCCGGATTCTGCTCTGGAATATGCCCAAATCCGCTTCCAAAGGTGAACGCTTCATTTTCAGAATATCTTTGAAGTGGATTACTAGATTTCCATATTCAATATGTCACACTTGAACTTCAAATTTATAAACGCCCGTAAACCACAAAAGGCTTTTTTTTTTTTGAAAACATGGGATGAAGGCGCGACTCAAGGTGGACCCATACTGCGCTCACCAGCAGCTTTCGATTCTTCTCATTCATCAATTTTCTACTAGCAATGCCTCTATTCAATATATCATTACGTTCTTATCGTTTTCCTAATTTGCTTATAAATTTCCAAGGTGAGTAGTTCAAAGGTCAACCCTGGGATTAGCATTACTAGTGGGATGGATACCACTAGGGAAATGCAAAAGGTCCCTTACCCTACCCAGAACCACATGAGCTCCATCTCGAAATTGCGCGGTCAGGGCGCTAATCCTTACGGGACTGCAACCATCGCCCTCTGTTTCCAACGCTTCCCACCCACCGCGAGAGGTGGTGAGATCAGCGTGCATTGATGTAGAGATCAGCGTGCTCTCTCAAACGACGTGCTCTCTCGCGTATTTTCTTCTTTGATCGCCCTGTCTCGCCATCGTACCACATCCGACCTTTTTGAAGGTTAAGGCTTAATTTCAGCGTTCCCAAGACGTTCTTTTCGCTTTCCTCTCCACTTTCAGGGTAGCTCCACAGCTAAGCTATCACTAATGTAAGCGCTCTTAGCTCCAGTTTAATTCCGGAGTTTGCCTTTAAGCAGTGCCAGCGGCGCCGCTTGGCGTTTTGCAGGTGCCATATCCCCAATTGAATACTCATCCCAGTGGCTAACAAACCCTCTTGGTCAGGACTGGGATGCCAGACTAGATAGCAAGTGTTGTCTGTGCATTGTCTATCCCACACACAACACTTTATTGTCATGGGGCAGCCTCGTATTCTAACCGCCAATCCATCTGGAACTGAATGCAAGACTGCACGGCTCCCCATAAATAGGGACCGTGCCTTTCCGATTCTTCATTCTATGTACTTTCAATTTCAAATATTGCTTAACTTTATCCGTACTTTTGTGGTGGATACCTATCATCGGAAGTCTTGATTTCCCTGTGACAGCGCTCCCCAGGGGCGGCACCCTTTGGTGACTAGAACTTCTCGCTGCATCCACACAGGTTTTGGTAGATAAGGGAAATTTGCCAACAAACATTGCCCGTGACATACAGTATCGATTAATCCATTAGATCGTCGTAGACGTTGTTCAGCATTTGATTCAAATATTTTATTTAACATATTCCTTTTTAGGAAATGCATCCATCAAACCACGCCCTGCTACAGACCCTACTGAAATCTGCCTCAGTGCCATCTGTGTGCTGTTCACCGTCGCAGACGCGTTCGTTGACGATCTTTTATCGAGACGAACTTGGTCGATCGACCATTCGGAACTTTGAGGATATGATTATTGAGTCTTGTGCTTGTCAGTAGTTTCGTTTCGAATCCTGTGAAATGCCAGCTTTCACATGCTTTGGATATCGCAGCCCCGTCGGAAGGTTTTTCTCAATATGCTCCTGCCAAATTTGCCTCAAAATAGGATTAATTCGCAGTGAAATTTCTTTTATGCTTATCCGTTCCCTTTCGCCAAATATTTCGAGCTTTCTTCGGAATCCAAAAACGTCATTGAGGGGTTCGAAAGGCAGTGTTATTAGTAAGGCTGTACTCCATTTTTTCCCACCAGTTAAGTCCGCCCTGAACCTCGAATTCCTAAAGTTTTGGTCTAAAAGAGGCATCTACGAGGGGGCACAGAGAGTGCGTATACTACAAACAGAAACCCTGCTGGCGCGCTTTCTTGTCGCGACAGTGCCGCTTCTGTGCTTGATGACCCTGATTCCTCATTTTACTGAATGGATCGTTTTAAAGGCCTAGTTTTGGGCAAAGCTTTCACTCTTTCTCGGGGATGGAAATTTTTAAGCGCCACTACGGGTGAATTGTGAAAAGAATCTCAAGTACTTCTAGTCCTCATGTCATTGTAGTTTTTGCTTTTGCTCTTGCGATATGTTTATAGGTACAACCCCCAGCAACTACTGAAGTACGCAAATAAAGTCGAGAATGATGCCAGAATGCGCCGTGCGCCCTACATGGAGTTCCCGAACATTACAGTGAGTGGGCAGTAATCGTCGAATCGGTCTTTCCTTTTCAAAACACGTTCACCCATTATCGAGATCTTGGCTGTTGTTGAAGGAATGGGCAGGGACAGATGCAACACAGCACGCTCCTATTGGTCATCAACAAATAGGTAAGGATAAGGACTGCAGATGCCCAATTAGGAGGGCGGCGGGGCACTGATCTCCGTCCATACGACCATTGGTTTCGAGTGTCATTGTCAATTTCTTCTCCACGCTTCCATTGAATACGTCAGAGCACTTGCAGCACTCCAATTCAGTGTGAGAAATTAAGAATTCGGCAAAAAGTACCTGTTCCTTGTTGATTCCAGAAATGTCGAAGATCAGTACTTCATGGCCGTCAAGCTTTCCTGAAATAACATCCACTTACCATTAATAAAGTCCACCCAACATTTTGTATTCACTACAACATATCCCATTCTGACCACAGGTTACCTTTGCACTATCGTTAGGAGAGCAACACTGATGATAGTCGCATCCATGCGGAAAGCAATGGGCAAAGAAGGGGTCCCGTTTCCCGGCTCCTGTGCCGTTGTTTTCGTTGTCTTTGCCGTTTGTTTTTTTTTCTCGATTCCAGTAGCAAATCCTTTGATTCTAATGGGACTACCTTATAATCGTAAACTCTGCCTATAATGTTTCAAGCCAATCCCACACATAAACTGCATTGTTGAGCCGTTACAAGGGATTTGAAATTGACGCGACGTTCCTACTGTCTTTTCCCTATTCAAATATGATCTTCTCTCATTTTTTCGATTGAGAAAATCTAGCATTCCAATAATAGTTTCTAGAATACTCACCGAGTCCTGGATCGATTCCACGAACGACGTTGCCATCATCTGAACCGTCATCTTCAACAAATGTCTCATAAATGGACTGCATCGTTGATGCCGTGCGATGAGAGGCTCGAAATGAGGGCGCCGTAGAGTTAACTGGAAAAAGGTTTTGGTGTGCCGTACAGCTTACATTCCGTAACTTGACTTTTACATTTTTAATTCCTTTTCCAATTTTTTTAAGCACACATGGTTCTCGAATTGCTTGAATTTTCCCCAATGGTCCTGCTGCAGGTAGCTAGAGCATAGACGGTAGCGGAACGGCGTCTGGCTCGGCTCCAAATCACGAGGAGGGTGGATGAATACACTAAGACTGAGCTTTCAAGGGACTCTCGGATGGGTAGGACTATTACAGGGTGGCAGAAGTCTGAATGTGCGAGATCATGAGCCGCTGTTCAGTCGAGAGAACGCGGACGGGAGCATCGAATTGATGTGGATAAAAGACCGAGTTCAAGTAGTTCGTCGAC